CCCTGACAGCTGAGGCCGACCGGGACGCCTCTCACCTCCCACACAATGGGCTTAGCCTGTTGCTGGTTCTTCACCAGCAGCTCCACTTCCATCGGCTCCATGTTCGGGGTCAATTGCACCCCAGGCACGCGCAATCGCCCGTTAACGATGCGCCTGGTCGCTGTCAACGCTGCTAAACCTCCTTTTGGCACAAGGATGGAGAGTTCCATCACAATGTGCCGTTCCCTTCCCATCGGATAAAGCAACCGTTTTTGAATGCGAGGGCCTCCCCAACGGTTGAACTCCTGGTTGCTGCGGAAGATTTGGCCAATTGTTGCCAGAATTTGAAGTCCTAATGGACCGTATATTTGCGCGATGATGTCGCCCGTATCTGAGCCCGCTGGCCACCGGACTGTCACCACGATCGGTTCCAGTTCTAGTGTGGCTCTGTAGAAAGCCAAGCCTTCATTTGTTCCGTAAAAGCCACTGACGGCCTTTATCTTTTTGGTCGGTATGGATTGCGGTCTCGCGGCTGAGGTCGGCTGGCGGCCATTTTGAACATTGCCGCGGCTAACAGCCACTGCTGGTCGCCTCTGCGACATTTTCAGGCTAATTAGATAACCATAACTACGCTCAAACAATTGAGGTCGCTGTCGGTGGCCACGGCCGCGGTTGGCCGACGGTCATAGTAGCAGCTTAGTCAAGCTTGGTCTCATCCATACATATGTATGTATGTATGTATGTATGTATGTATGTATACGAGTCCGCACCCCGTATATGGTGGTCCCTCGATGGCTTTTATGTATGTATGTATGTATGTATGTATGTATGTATGTATGTATGTATGTATGTATGTATATATAACTTAGCCGCACCATACTGCGACTAGAGCCCTGACCAATACCGCTACCACGGTCCGCAATCTTTATGGCTATTTTGATTACAACGTCTAAATGCCATATTAAATTCGACGCAACAAATGTTGCAAACTAGAGCGGCGAAGACCGCTGACCGACCAAAAATTCAAACTGGTCGGAAGACAGCAACGGCCACAAGGCCGCAAACGACCCAGAGGAAAGTAAAACGAGAGGAATTTACTCCTCTCGAACTTAACATTCTCGCGTCACCGACGGAGCGGCTCTTCGTGCTCTGTCCGGAGACATGGGAATTGGTCGCGCATTGGCCACCGGGCTCCGACATTTCAGATGTCTACGCTCAGAGCTATGGGCGACTTGTAGAGCACATAATTTCTAAGTTGAAATTATGGGCAAAATCAACGGACTTGGAGGCATTGGAAGGGCCCGCAGTGACGAAGCGGCGCATCTTTCCAATGAAGGATAAGCGCGTTGCGATGGAGATCTCAGTCCTGATGCCACCGGGCAGCTTGGCAAGGCTCACCAACAGCGAGCTTCTCAGGGAGGGGCGCCTACAGCTAGGCGGAGTGGAGTTCTACCCCGGCCAGGAGCCGGTAAACGTGGAACTAACGGTTAAAGGCTTGGATAAGATAGTGCCGCGTCGGTGGGAAGTGTCGGGACTTCCGCTGGGCATAACGCGCCAGGGAGTTACGGCCTTCCTCGCGATGGCGTACAGCAGGGTCAGCGGGAGGCAATGGAAGAGGGAGGAATTCGGCTTTCCCTGCAAATGCCCCTTCCAGGCTGACAAATGGGCAGTGAAGCTACCGGCGGGAAACTTCAATCTCCCGGTGGAGCTCCCCTATACGTATGGCACGCCAGGGGACAGTACCCACTGCACTGGGACCCTGGTCGCGACCAAGGTGCCCTTGGCGCTGGAGGCAGCCCCCGCTGTAATTGGCTGTTTACCGCCAGCACGCAAGGGAGCTCAGCCAAAAATGACGCAGATTCCGGAGTCAGGCCCCAGCCGAAGCAATGCTGGCACGGTAGTAAATGGCACATGGGCTGCCATCGCGAGAACCCAGCGGGGGGCCACCGCCACAGCAGCCACGGGGAGAACTAACACCCCCGAGATGGCAAGGCACAACATCATAGGGCCATCGCCAATGCCGCCCCTGCCAGCATTCAGCGGCCCGATACACTCCGTTACCCACCTGGGATCCCGGGAACCAGTGATGGAGCTGCAGGTGTCAGGGATACAGGCTGCGGTAGCAGCCCAAATCCCTACACCAGCTGCAGTGGAGATAGGTTCCACCTCCGCACCACGGCCACCACCGCCCCCACAGAGCAAAGGTGGCCCAGACTTGCAGCCAGGGCCCAGCAGCAGCAGAGCCCTTCCTCCCCAGCCCAACGGCAGTGGCGGCAGCGGCAGCAAACCTGCCACCCAACCCCGTGGGAACAACACAGAGGGTTCCCCCGGGGACGCAGGGTGGATGCGGCAGGAGAAGAGGGGTAAGAAGACCCCCATTCCCGACCCTCAGGAGGCCAGGCAGGAGACAGTGGTCGCAGCACCACACCAGGCAGCCGACCCAACACCTGGAGCCACCATAGCTGCCGACGCCCCACCCCCAACACCACCAACTGCACCCACACACTCCGCCCTGGGATTGGAGACAATGCACATGGAAATGGAGGCGGAGCAGACCCAGGCGGAATCGGACCTAGCAGACGAGGGGAACCCGTACTCAGTGCTGGCGGAGTTGAGGGATGAGGAGGAGAACCCCCCAGGGCAAACCAAGGCACCTGGCGCAGCGGCCACGACCCCCCACCCGGAGCAAAACACGGCACCTGGTGCAGCGGCCACGACCCCCCCCTGGAGCAAAATACGGCACCTGACGCAGCGGCCACTAAACCCCCCCTGAGGCGGACCACGGCACCTGATGCAATGAGCCTCAGGATAGAGGAGAGGGCTCAGGAGGCGGCCAACCCACCACCAGGACAGCCCAAGCAGCCCCAGGTGGCCATTGTCTTCGGGACACCCCACAAGGCAGCTGCCATCCAACTCACGCCTATCCGGGAACAGCCATGGAAACCGGTAGCGGAACAAGCCGGCCCTGCCAACAATGCACAGACAAACAGGGAATGGCCATCTCCCCCGCCAACTCAGGCAGCCGGGAAGAACACCACAATGGGCTCCCCGAAAACACAGGCGGCTGCCCTCTTTGCCC